CTAGAAGTTCCCTAGTGTGCATTAACTTAGTACTGTTTGAAACAGGATTATATTAGCATGCACTAGGGAACTTTTAGTGTATGCCAGTAGGGTCCACACAGATCAGGTAGTGAATGACATGCTAGTGCAGATTGAAGTTTAGACTTGTCTGGTGCAGACTAAAATACACTTACAGGGATAAACCTAAAATTGGGCACTTCACAGAGATGTTGAGAGCACTAGGACACCTGACAATGTCCAGTGAAGCTAATGGAAAGATTCCTGTTGATTTCAATGAGTTTTGATCTGGCCGTAAGTAATTAATGTCTATACAGGGTTTTGAGCAAGTAAACATTTTAGAATTGCATTACTAAAATCACCCATTTTTCTAGCTTGCTGAAAAAGTTTGTGAAGCATGATTCAAGTAGTGGTCTCAGTACCAGCCACTTGAATATAGAACAGTGGTTCTCAACCTGTGGCCTGTGGGCCACTTGTGGCCCAGTCAGCACAGAGCTGCAGCCCATGTGGCATCTTCAGGGCCATACAAGTAGTATTGGTGCAGCCCACAATGGTAAATAAGTTGAGAACTACCGTTACAGAAACTGAATCACACATGGTTATATCTGTAAATTCAATGGGATCAGCTTCCACACATTATACTAGCCTGAACAAAAGACCTGCAATGATGTATACGCAAAGAGCAAGCCAATGTTCCAAGAGCAAGTTACTAGCGTGACTTATTTTTGTATTTTGGATTCCATGAAAATCCACTACTATGCTAAGTTAGTAGTACATATTATAAGATTCAGTAATTCACATCCAGAATAATGAGAGGATAGCTGAAGTCCACCAGAATGATCGGTGTAAATAGGCTGTGTCAAGACTGTATGTGAAAATTAATTACGGCAATCAATCAGTTAGTAATGGACAAGTACTTTTAGATAAGTAATGACTTTTCATTAAAAAGGAAAGATAATTGTAGACAAATGTCAAAACAAAACTTTGAATTACAGAGCATGCAACTATGAACTCCTGATCTCTCTCACTTCCCATTGCTATAAGTGGAACTAATGTAGCTAAATAAGAACAGTTCATTCACAATGAGTCAAGTTTGCAGGATCAGGCACAAAAGACTGTCATGCCTTCTAGATGGTAGTGCTCAGACTCTCTAGCAACATAGAATCGGATTCTAATTTATAAAATGGAAAAGCTTCTTTGATTAGGGAATGATTACTTGTAGACATTTTAAGGTTTTGTCTGTTTTGATTAATCACCATTTCTCAATGTTGTGTCCAGAATGATTTTACTTTTTTAAGCAAACATGTTTTTCCTGGGGAAAAAAAAATCTTTGGGAAGTTTAACAGTCCTAGCATTTCATTTTTTAAACATCCAGTATTAACATCTGATTAACTTCTTACATAAGTCTCATTTGTGGCTACAGGTGAGCTCATAGATGTAAATGAATACTCCTTCCTTAACATTCACTTGTAACTCCTTCAAAATAAAAGTGCAATCGAGGGCTTTTACACTATAGAGGGACACTAGTCAAGTATTGAACACTCTTGTATCTCTATAGAACCACAGCAGTTCTGCATGTGTCTTAATAAATTAGCTAAGCATGCTTTTGAATAAAACTATTAATTTACACATTTAATCCATTATAAAATGCTTTTTTAAAGCTGCAAGTGCAATGTTTCATTCTTATTAATATTTCAGTTAAGAATGTGGGCAGTAGTTAGTCTCCAGAGGCCATTGCCAGCACTGTACCGTCTGTATATCATCTGTCATAAAGAAAGCAGTAGTGTGATGCTTGGAGTACTGAAGAGGTTCTACAGACAAGCTGGGATACCACAAACAGCAGGAAACATTCAAGGACTCAATTAGAGGGGAAGTAATCTGTCACCTGGGAAAAGCTTCTAGCCTCAACATTTTGCAGTATCCACAGTAATTGCTACATGCAAACAAAAGCAAATTGAACAGCTAGGAAAAAAATCCATTCCAAAGCAAGGTGAACATTCCAAGTTAACAATTTGTTAGCATTTCAAGGTGGGACGGCTAGGTCAAGAGATTCCATATGCAGGAATGGCCTTAAGGACAATCATAGCAAGCAATCACTTGTGGTCCTGCTCTTCTGTGTCTCTCCTATTCCATGCAGCTCATAGGCTGATCATAACTCCTTGGCAGGCAGCACAGCTGGGAAGTAAGTATTATAAATAAACATGCCTTCACCCATATATAAAGATTAGTCACAATAACTTTACTCTTTATATAATGAAGACATCCTTTGTACATCAGAAGTTTCCCTTGTATTGGGAGCTGGGTGCCTCAGCTGCCTGCTAAAGGAAGTTTCAAGTGTCCTTTACTCCACTGGGGCAATGTAGAGGACATATGAATGGGAGAGGATCAGTCCCTATGGAGAACCTCTCATTAACTTCAATGGTAGCAAGATCAAGTCCTTGGGACTTCATCCAAAATCCAGTGAGGACAATGGAAACATCAGGCCTATAGTGAGGGTTGAGGATATGGTCCACTGTATTCTCTTTTACGTGCTGCTGTTCCCCATCTATGTAAGAGTTTATTTTAATTTTTAAAATTAGATTCTGCTCTCAGGTTTTTAAAGGGATGTACATGCTGCTATGCTCAGTGTTGCAACACCTAAATCTCATTTTCAAAAGGGATTTAGGTACTTGGGAGCCTAAATCCTCTTTTGCAAATGAGTCCGGCAAACCTAAAGCCCTTTAAAAATCTGGGGTCGAGTGATTTAGGAGAATAAGTCCCATTGACAGCTGTCACTTCCAAATGCATTGATCCCTCAAGCAGGGGAGGTATCTTGTGACTCACTCCACCATTTACATATTTGGATGTTTCCAAGTCCCTTGTCATGTTGAATGAATTACCTATGGAGTAGAACTGCACTGCTATTTTCTCCATGGGGAGAATACTTTTGGAATGAGTGACTCACACGTGCAAACTGTCACACTGGATGGCATATGGTATCTTCAGGTATTGTATGGTTTATTGAATAGAACTGATGGTAGGACTTATTAGAATGAGCTTTTAAGTAGTGATACAATCACATATTATACCTATTAGTTAAAAAGCATTTAATCAATACCTCTTAAAGTGTAACCCCAAATGCTTAACAAGTTCATACAATTTTATAAATATTCAGCTCTTTAACAATCTTTTAAATACAGGGCAAACTTTTCCAACACATTTTTTTCTGCATGAAAATTTTAAACTGCAAGTGTTAATATCTGGATACAAAATTGTTTATTATGCCTTAAAATATGTATGTTTTAATTTCAAGGCCCATTACATTAGTCAAGGGAATGCAACTAGCCTTGTAGAATCTCTCAGCTTTAGGCTGCAGAAGACATTTTAAAAGAAGCAATAAATCTCTGGAGATCATACCAAAACCCACACAAATGATTTGAAATGGAACTTGTGAAAGGTCATTGAGCCTGAAAATGATGAACTGAATGTCTATTATCAAAACTTTGTAATGATGACCACTTAACCTTTTCATATACTAATATGAAGTTCATAAAGTCCTCCCTTAGAATGACTCTTAAAGCTCAACTAATTCTTATGCTTTCTTACATTTTCTGTCCAGGAATTTGAACATGCAAATATGTACACAATTTGCACTGTTTTACTTCTTTTAAATTTTCCACATATCAATTCCAATAGGGCCAAAAAAACCCTAAACAAAAAATATGTCATGAACCATTTCCCTGCCAGAGGGATACCCTTGATGATTTTCTAAATAGCTATTCAGGGATTCAATGGGAGTTTTTCTCACTTCTTTTCCCCATGATATTGAATATCATGAGAACAGACCACTTAAATACCTAGAATTCTATTATGTCCTATCTTAAAGGTTTACTAGATCATCAAAGTAAACACACACAAGTCTTGCGCTGCATATTTGGCTTTGGGAGGTTTAAAGCATTGCAGATTTTCACAAAGCACACCTAAATAAGTGACTTGTGCTTACAATTCCAAACTTGCTGAAAGTTAGTCATCTAAGTAAAGTACCTAACTTTGAGCAGGTCTGAGCTGCTGTTGATGCAATGGGAGCTGCAGGTGTTCAGTACCTCTCAGAGTCGGGCTAATTATTGATGTGCCAAAATGTGCATTCAGACTTGTAACTTTAAGCAAGCACCTATTGCCTCTAGATACTGCATAGGTGACTAAAAAACGTGTTCTTGTTCTCATATTCTGCTTGCATGGGATGCAATTATTGAACTGAAACTTAAAAAAAGAGAGTTAAGTTAGCTCCAAATATCTAGTTGTCGTAGTTCTTCTCCAAGTAACTTTGGTTGAAAACAGTTGTACTGTCATACAAAAGTGTTTCACTGAAAAAAGTATTATACTAAACTAAACAAGTTTTAAGCTACTTTGCTAATGTCCATGCTATTTTAGGTTTCAGAGTAGCAGCCGTGTTAGTCTGTATCCGCAAAAAGAACAGGAATACTTGTGGCACCTTAGAGACTAATGCATTTGTTAGTTTCTAAGGTGCCACAAGTACTCCTGTTCTTCATGCTATTTTAGTTGAGCTTCAGAAGGAAAAAAGCCTGCTATCAGCAGAAGCAAGATCTATTAACAGGATTAACTCCACTTTCTATTAAGCCAGCATTTAGCAGACCAGAAGGAAGTGTAAGATTACCACTTGGATCACAGGGTTTGTGAAAGATAATACTAGAAACTTAATAATGGGAAGAAGTGTAAAAATATTTCTTTCAACCTTTGTCCTTTCTGAAATGTATGGTTCTGACCTGGCTAGCCTAATGTAAGCCATTAGGAGATTTCAGCATCACCTGCCCATACCAAAAAGGAAGATAAAAATATCTGTTAGTCTCTTGTTAAAAGTCTGAATTCAGTGGTCTTGGTGTCACAGAATTTTTAAATACATTTTTTTCTTCTGTGAAGCTGGCTTTAAAGTTAGAAATAAAATGTGTTTATTGGTTTCAACAGTCTTTAATGGACCCATGCTTTTCATTCTCTACCTTATACAGACGGGACTGTCTCTACCAATATCTCTAACAATCAGAACCCACAATTTCCCAAGATTACATCGTATGAAGAAAATTGTCTCCAATGTCGAGCCGCTACATTTCCCCCTTGATGGAGTCTGCACTGCCAGCGAGAGGAATAGTTTTACAGAATTTTGAGATGCATTCACAAGACTCCCTGAATGCCATTTCAGGCATTGCTCTGAAAATTTCCCCAAAGTTCCTGTTTTGAAGATCTCTGACAGAAACAATGGGATACTGGTAGGTGTTTCAGGGAATCCCAGAATCCACCAATGCAAAAACAGCAGACAGGGAGATCATGATTAGATGTGCCAAACTGTTTCAAAAGCTGAGTTGCTGTGGGGATGTGTTGCACTAGTGTCAAGACAACTGGTGCAACTGTGCAATCTATGCCCCTAAAAAGATGCACTTGCCTATTTTTAAATACCACCATACTTGGGGAGGGAGAAATCAATTGGACCTCCCTTTAAAGACAGTCAGGAAACATCTTCACATGAAGGCTTTAGAACTTCTCTACATGGTGGAGAGAAGTTCTAAAGCCTTCATGTGAAGATAAGTCTTTGGGGATAGCTCTACACCAGGGGTCGGCAATCTCTCAGAAGTTGTGTGCCAAGTCTTCATTTATTCACTCTAATTTAAGGTTTTGCCTGCCAGTAATACATTTTAACCCTTTTAGAAGGTCTCTATCTATAAATCTATAATATATAACTAAACTATTGTTGTATGTAAAGTAAATAAGGTTTCAAAATGTTTAAGAAGCTTCATTTAAAATGAAATTAAAATGCAGAGCCCCCTGACCGGTAGCCAGGACCCGGGCAGTGTGAGCGCCACTGAAAATCAGCTTGCGTGCCTCCTTCGGCATGCATGCCATAGGTTGCCTACCCCTGCTCTACGCGTAATTCCATAGTGTTTCCCTGCTCCCTCAAGGTTAGGCAACAGTAAGCTCAAGGAAGAGTCTTGACCCTCTCTGCAGAACCCCTTTGCTAGTGTGTTTTAATCTCACATGAAGAATGCTATCTGACCTGAACCAGCTGTGATTAAATGATCATCAGTGTAGAGAAGATAAAAGAAGGAAATTGCATTTGCCACACAGCATGAATGTGCAATATTTTTAATGGTGTTGGGGCACTAGAGTCAAGACTACTCAGTGCTCCTAACCTATCAAGGAAGAGATTAAACTCTTTGCCATTCACTAAATGTGACTATCACAGTCAGATGTCTTACCTCGTTGCAGTCAGTGCTTCTGGTTTTTCCTCTATAAAGAAATGCACTAGGGGTCTTCTTCAGCAACTGCAATAGAAAGTGCAATTAGGACAATTAGTGTTGTAGAGGATATGTTCCCAAAGGATTTGCAACCAACCAGAATAATCAACCTTAAAAATGAAACAACCTGAAAATCTGAAAGCTTTGATTGTAATTCATAGAGAGAAAGTCTAAAGGTACAGTAAACTGTTGGTTTTTGAGGAATTTCTGTAATGCCCACTGGATAGTTCCCTAGATGCTTGTTTTAATGCCCATGAGAGATTTTAGGCATGGAGACTTCTTAGATAGGCTAGACACCAACACATCAGAGAGGGTCCTAGCTGGGTTACTGCTCGGATGCTAGACATTGCTATTGAACATTTTTATTGATTTTAAAGAATGTTTACAACTAAGGAAGTCTCAAAGTGGAGGATTTATCCTGGAATGCCAGACAGTTTGTATTTATTGGTTCCCTCTGGATACTAGTTTCATTCCTTGTTGCAGTTAGTTAATTAAATGATAGCTCAGTGTTAAAGCTATACAAGGATTCTGAGTGAATTTTCTCATTTAATGTTGTCATTTCTTTAACTAAGGTTATTGACTGTTACAATTTTGGATGCATGGTTTAAAATCTGCTTGTTCTTTTATTAAGAAAACATGTTTTTCCAAACTTTCCCTCAGAGTAGGAGAGCATTATTCTAAATTTAGTTAGGACTAACTTTGATTTTTTAAAATATTAGGCCTGATAAATTGAATATTAAAGCTCCCATTGATTTAAGTGGGAGCATATTTAGTTAGTTAGTACCCATTATTCCTCCGGTGTTTAGGGCAGTGACAAAGCGCCTCCACGCCTGTCTGTTTCTGGCAAGTCTTTCAATTGTTCCCTAGCTATGTCCCGGGTTTTTCAGCTCGGCTTTCACAGATCTTTGCCATGTTTTTTCGGGTGGCCACATTTTCACTTGCCGCCAGGTATCCACCTTATTGCTATTCTGGTGATGGAATCAGTTCCCACCCAAAGCACATGGCCAATCCCTCTCCATAGCCACCTGATAATAATGGTGCTCAGATCCTCTTGGCTGCACTGTTGCTTTGAGATTGTTCTGAGCCAAAAGATAGGGAAGATTTTTCTGAGGCAGGTTGTATTGAATGAAGACAGTTTGGACATGTCATATTTTGTCATTCCCCAACATCCTGCACTATACTGTAGTGTTGAGAGTACCCAGCTCTGATAAATCTTGAGTTTGGTTCTGGTGTTACATTTTGATGATTTCCAGACTGTATTTAAGCTCCTGAAGGTGTGCCCAGCTTTATTGATTCTGTTCCTGATGTCCTGTCTTGTTCCACTGTCCTGGCTGATGGTGCTGCCTAAATATGTGAATTTTCCTACATTGGTGAGAACTTGATCCTCTACCCATACTGCAAACAACCCTGTCCCGTTTAAAAAAAAAAGTTACAGAAACAGCGGCAGGAAATACCACGAGCAGTATAGCAAGGAACAGCAGGAGGTCAAACGACTTGTAAGAGTGGACAAACAAAATTATATTGTAAAATAAATAACACGTGGTAGAATAGTTTAGCTGAAAACTCTCGTTAGCTGAAATGGGAATGTCTTGTGCCCGCATTTTAGTCAGCAATTGGATATTGGTTTAGATAGTGCAGGGGTTCAGCTAATAGAAGGATCCATTAGAATTGAGAGGAGGAGTCCAAGGAGGAGAGCTCCTGGGAATAAGCCAAAGAGCTGAAGAGAAGAGATGAGCGAACTAGCCCCTAGCACTCTTCATATGTTGAAGGCCCTTAGCACACACTGGCTCCCTTACTAAGAGCTGAAATCACTAAAAGAGCTAAAATTGCTGAGCTGAGATCACTGAGTGCTGTGTTAACCAGTGGGGGAGCCTGAAGAAATATTGCTAAGCAGCTGGCAGAGCCGAGCAGTTTGTGGAACGGTTGGAGCAGCCCATGGAACAGTGAGTTGAGCGGCGCAGAGCAGAGCTGAGCCATTTGTGGGGGCAGCTGGAGCAGTTCATGGGACGGCTGGAGGAGCGGAGCGGCACGCTTGGTAGAGCGGAGTCATTCGTGGTAAAGGCTGCAGCAGAACTCCATGGAGAGGTGGGGCAGTCGGCCTCGGACCACATAAGGTGCCCGCTTAACATCCCGTGTGCCCCCCCCCCATTTCTGCCCAGGCTGGGGGGGTAAACTCTGCAGATAAACTTTTGAACTCTGTGGCGGCACTGAGCAGGGACAGAGACTTTGGGGTTGTTGGACTTTGGGGTGATTGGACTTAAGACCCTGAGGGGAAAAGTTTACTGCCAAACTTACTTGGAGGTGGGTCTTTTGCTTATGGTTTGTGTTATGAATGCTGTTTGTGGTGTTTCCCCAACATAATGCTGCATTGGTTCCCTCCTTTATTAAAAGGCTTTTGCTACACTCGGACTCCGTGCTTGCGAGAGGGGAAGTATTGCCTCCTAGAGACGCCGGGGGGTGGTATGTAATTGTCCCAGGTCACTGGGTGGGGGCTCAAGATGGTTTTGAATTGCGTTATTGAAACGGAACCCCTAGATACTGAACCCGGCCCTTGTTGCTGCCAACTCAGAGGGGCAGAAGGGTTACATATAGAAGGAGTCTTTTCCCTCTCCTCAAACACTGTGATGAGACCATGACAAGGTCTGGAAAGCCCCAAACTTGTATTGCTGTTTGCACTTGAGGGATGCTAACATGTGCAGGTACAATGTCTTACAGAGTTGCCGACAGGAGGGTTCATTCTGAGGGAACAGTCTACACATTGCACAGCTTAGTTGAGATGCTGGGAAGATGGTAAAGTCTAAAAACTATGTATACTGGGAATGGCAAGCGTTGGGTGGTGGCTGGAGGGGACCACTTCCAGTATGGACCCAGGGAATGTTATTTTAATAATACATAATGTGTTCAAGGCTACTGCATGTGATATATCCAGTAATAACCTTTGTAATTTGTTTGGTTTAGGGAACAGAAGAAATAAAACAAGGGATTGGCAGAACACACTTTGGAACAGTTGACACCCATCAACCAGGTCATATCTGAACAAAATAATGAGGTGGACACCATCATTCTAAGTCTCTATCCTGTAGTTCAGACATAATATTTGTTTTTGATGGTTGTACAATTAGTAACCACCACTGTAGTCCTGGGTGTGTATTTTTGGGTAATAAACCTTTTTTTTTTAATGGAAATGTAGGCCTTGCATGAACAATGAAAGGTAAGAGAGGCTAACAATGGACAAAGCATGAATTCACAAGTGGCCTTGTAAATAATATGTAGCTAGTAGATAAACAGTAAGAAGAAGAATAGGTGATAAGCTTGCAGCTGCGCATACTAGGACACTTTGTAGCACATGGATAGCTCATGATCTATACGGGAATTGGTTCACAAAATTAGTAAGCCAATCAAAGTGTGTGAAACAATGTAAAATGTAACATGCATGTGTTGGTCTGTTTTATAATTATGTACTTTGGAGTTGTAGTGCGCCCAATTACACAGGATAGCTTAGTGGTTTGAGCATTAGCCTGCTAAACCCAGCGTTGTGAGTTCAATCCTTGAGGGGCCACTTGGGGATCTGGGGCAAAATCAGTACTTGTTCCTGCTAGTGAAGGCAGGGGGCTGGACTCGATGACCTTCAAGGTCCCTTCCAGTTCTAGGAGATAGGATATCTCCATTAATTATGAATCTATGAACCTCCCCTGAGATACTGCTTGGGGTGTGCTATAGATTGCTGGGATCTGATATGGATAGAGACCTTTTTAATGTTTTTAATGAAGTAAATACTAATGGGAATTGTGTGATCATGGGAGAATTTAACTTTCCAGATATAGAGTGGAGGACAAGTGCTAGTAATAATAATAGGGCTCATATTTTCCTAGATGTGATAGCTGATGGATTCCTTCACTAAGTAGTTGCTGAACCAACAAGAAGGGATGCCATTTTAGATTTGGTTTTGGTGAGTAGTGAGGACCTCATAGAAGAAATGGTTGTAGGGGACAACCTTGGTTCAAGCGATCATGAGCTAATTCAGTTTAAACTAAATGGAAGGATAAACAAAAATAGGTCTGTGACTAGGGTTTTTTATTTCAAAAGGGCTAACTTTAAAGAATTAAGGAAATTAGTTAGGGAAGTGGATTGGACTGAAGAACCTGAAGTAATTCCATGCTTCTTCCACCTTTAGATTCCCCAAGTCAAAGTTGCAGAAACTATCAGAAGCCTGCATCCCAAAACAGGGGAAAAAATTCATAGGCAGGAGTTGTAGACCAAGCTGGATGAGCAAGCATCTCAGAGAAGTGATTAAGAAAAAGCAGAAAGCCTACAAGGAATGGAAGATGAGAGTGATCAGCAAGGAAAGCTACCTCATTGGGGTCGGAACATGTAGGGATAAAGTGAGAAAGGCCAAAAGCCATATAGAGTTGGACCTTGCA